TAAATACACTTTTCCTTCCTTCCTTCCTTCCTTCCTTCCTTCCTTCCTTCCTTCCTTCCTTCCTTCCTTCCTTCCTTCCTTCCTTCCTTCCTTCCAAATGTGTCTTTGTGTCAGAATTCATCTTTATAGATTCCCTTTGGACATTTGTTTGTCTTATTTTTTTACCATCTTATCTCAGGGAGACATTTTTCTTACTTTTATTTAGTTTATATTGTTATATATTTCTTCTATTGCTTTCTGCACAGCTGTAATTTGAGAAAGATTAACCTATTAAACCGTGTTAAAATCCTGTAAAGAAAACTTGTGTGGGACAACCTTGCCTTTAATATCAGTGAGATGTGTTTATGCGATCAAAATGCAATTCTTCTCATCTTCCACTTTCAAGGCATGATCACTTCATTTAAATTTGCTTTTATTTTTCTCCTTTTTTGGCTTAGTGTACCATTTTGGTTTTGTCATATCTCTCATGGCGTGGTTTTAAAGCTTGGCTTGTCTGTCGAATGGCAAAGATTTATTGAAATTATAGAAGTGTCACAGTTTTAAGACATTAAGAATGACATATAAAGGAGCTTTATGTGTTCATTTCTTAGTTTTATGTCTTGGATTTTTTGTCTGTCACTTTTTTATACATATATATTTTTTTTATAAATATGAAAAAGTAAAAAAACAGAATTTGTTGAAATTTTTTTGTCAAATTAAATCAAACAATCACACTAATAAACACACAAAAGGAGCATATTCAGTTAGTCCCAGTAAAAGCTGAGCCCATTGCTATGGCCAGGAGAGAAACAGGACAAAGCACTGACTGATCTGCCTCCAAATTTACTTTTAGATATTCTAAGAACCACTAGTAAACCTGCAGATTGAGAGCAAAGTGCTCCGTCAGAAACATAAGGAACAATCAGATCTCTGATATCAGATATCATTACAAAAGCCCAAGTCTTGAAGTTAAAATGTATGGACTTCTCAACATCATCCCTGACCAAGATATTTCTAATTTTTTGCAATCTTTTATAGAGGAAAGAGGGCAATTCTGGAACCCTTTAGCAAGGGAAGCCACATCAGACTTTGCCCAAACTTGAAAAGGCATGATCTCTCCAAAGACACAGTTGCATTTGTTTAATTATTTATACAGTTTTTTTTTTTAATGGATTGTGCCACAGCGCAATATGCAAAGGGGATGAGTATGTCAATAACCTACAAAAAAATTAGATAAACATTAAGCATCAGAAAAAACAACAAATTTATTTGACTTTAAATAATTAGCTTTTTTTTTATCTAACCTTTCTAATTTACCTTTAACCTGAGTGAATAAAAATAGGTCAACCAATCTGTAAGTCATTTAGTTCTAGCTTTCTATATTAAATAAGAATCATATATCACAGTGGTGAGCTAGTGGTTACAGCATTGTGCTTGGGTCTTGGAGGTTCTGAGTCAAGTCCTACAAACTCCCACGGACTGTCACTTTGGGTCCCTGAGTAAGACCGTTAACCCTGTACTGCTCCCCGTGTGCCTTACAAAGGCAGCCCATAGCAGCAGAGATGCAAGGAGTTTATTTCGTTGCTCTGTACTTGTGACAAAGTAATGACAATAAAAGTAAAAAAAATAAACTTTGAGTGAATTCTGCCATTTTCTATCACTAGTGTCTTTGGAGAAGCTTTCAGCTGAAGTTCTCTGCCTGACAAGAGATCAACATGGGAGCTTATAGATTTGCTTGGATTTGCCTAAATATTGATGATAGTCGGAGGTACTGGGGGCGCCAGTGTACGGCTGCCTCGCTTCTGGGGCTGCCGTGAGCCCCAGGGCAGCTACAATGTAGTTTGCCACCATTATTGTGGAACTGAATAGATGAATGACTGAATATAGTGTAGCGCTTTGGTCAAATCCTCTGACTTGAAAAAGTGCTATATACTATAAGTACAGGCCATTTATTTTTGAGAAATTGAGAATCAAATTTCTTTGTAAAGTGCTCTCCAGATGTGCGGAGATTAGGGCTGAAACAATTAATAGGATTAATCCCTATTATTATAATAACTGTCAACTAAGTTCACCAATCGATTAATATTTAAAAGGTGTAGAGAATCTAAAACTTGCCTTTATCTGACAGAGCAAAACACCTGAGCTGTAAATATACCAAAATTGTAAAAAAAAAAATTAAAAATTACACATTTTGCATTTAAGATAAAAAAAATAAAAAAAACTTTTTTGTCTGACAATCTGCTCTATCCAGAACTCCACGAGTGGACAGGTTTTAGTTTCACCTGGTTTAATTTAGTTAAAATTCATCTTTAAGAAATATATGGCTATCCGATTATGAATCTGTTGGTGAACCTTTCTATTATTCGGCACGGATCCAATGAGCGATATTTCTCAAGTAGCATACACAAAGGTGTAAGTGCTCAGAAAGGAAGAAACCTCTAGCAGAACCAGGCTCAGCGTAAGCGGAATCTGCCGAGGCCGACTGGGGTTCAAGGAGACAGAAGCAGAGATAGAAAAAAAAGCATAGATACAAAAGGCAACTGTAAAAGGCGGCCACGTCCAGGAAACACACAGCCAGGCAGACGAGCTCCGAGCCAGCTCCCATGTCAGAGGATGAAGAGAGCACATCCAGTTAGT